CTTGCGTTGTCTGGAGTCCAATATCCTTCGCTGTGAAGTTGAAATTGGCTCTGAAATTGGGAAGTTATTTGTTGACAACCAGCCGTCCCTTCGTTGTGAAGTTGAACTTGTGTTGTCTCGAGTGGCACGATACCCTCTGTCGTGGAGTTGAAATCGCGGATGGCCCTTTCGTTGTGAAGTTGAGCCTTGACTTGAATATCCTTCATCGTGAAGTTGAAATCCAAATATTGTATGTTGCGGGTGGACACAATTCCCCTCGCCGTGAAGTTGAAACCGTGGAGACCCCTTTATTGTGAAGTTTGGCTTCGAGCTAGATATCCTTCGTCGTGAAGTTGAAATCCACTCTCGAGCTGCAAAAACGTGTATGCTAAAATGATGAATGTGATGCACCTAAGTATGTTTAAGATTCATGCAATATGAATGAATTATGTGTTATCTTCTGGATGGAGTCTCGTGCTTTGTCTGTCAATCTGATACATGGAATCGATCGTGCCCCATTTTCTTTCCGAGCTTTGGCTTTACAGACCTTTCATATCTGAGACTGTTCTGCTTGAAAATGTTTTTCTCATTTTTCTTGTTTTAGGAGAGAGACATGATAAAAATGTTGTAAAATATTGTTCGCAATTGAAACAAATTGTAAATGTGAGTTCAAAAAATATCAAAGGAATCAAGAGCTCTTTTAATGCTTTCAGAGTTACAAATCTTTGACAAATGTTCAAATGGATGAGTTGGCTTTAGGTTAGCCTCTTTTCTAAGGTTTTGGTAACCCAAAATGTCATTTTTTTAAATATCGAAATATGCTTTGGCATTTCATTTGGGTGCGGACATAATGACGCAACTATAATGACCAATTACTAGACATTTTATTTCGGTCCTCTGAAATCTTTCATTTGTTCAAGCTTTGTAGGCTCCTCCAACAAAGGCAGTGCGAAAAATATCGGTCTAAAAATGAAATTCTTGAGTGCTCGTGTGTAGTCGACTATAACAGGTGTTCTTTAACTCCCTTAGTCCAACATTACCGAAAATTTCTTGCTCAGATAAATTTGATTTAATTTTCCATTGTCTGGCTAGCTGAATCCATAAAGTCGAGGCGTTTAACCAATTACTTTAGAGGGACAGCTTAACATTATAATCACTTTTATCAGGTTTAACTGAAGGGTTCATCTCATCACAAAGTCTTCGGCCTGACAAAAGCAGTGGAGCAAACACCGAATTGCCAAGTGTCCGAGCAATATCATGGTTTGAATACAATCTATTCATAAAGCCAGGGCTTTCGAGTTTCCTCTGTAACCAATTGCCTTAGTGGAATAGCTCAGTTTTACGGATTTAATTTCTTAAGATTGTCAAGAAGAACCTGTTATAGTCTAGGTGTTTGTTGAAAGTAAAAAATTTCATCTTTAGAGTTCAATTTTCAAGCAACTGACCTAAACTAGATTCACTTACTCGACTATTCCATCTGTGAAGATCATTATCATCACTGAACGTCTTAAATAAAAAGTATAATAATGTCATATACAAAAGGATGCCCCATGTTGTCCGCACCTTATGAAAGGAAAATGTTATATTGGTTAATTACAAGAGCAGGGTACGGTGTTTGAGTGTATATTCTGGGTAAAGTCAAATTCCTTGTTTTAAATCATGTTACTTCGTCAAAGATATGTAACTTTGAACCATTTCAGAGTTTTTTAATTCAGATGATATTCAAAGAATTGCAAGTTTGCAAATGTGATTCATTGTTTAACATCTTTAAAGTAACATAAATTTATTTAAAAGTCCTTACAAAAACTTGAGAAAAAAATGAAAAAATAAATTCAAACAAAATGTCTCAAATGATGAAATGGTCTTCCTCACTTGGATGCCCCCAAGTTGTTGAAGTCGATCCGATTCTTGTTACGTATTTTATGTATGATTCTCTTGATTGTGGAGTAATTCTCGATAGTGCGCCCTGAGACTCCGCTATGATTTTTGCAATGAGCGTTCTCATCATACTACCCGAGGTACGGGGCTTCATGGATTTCTCTGGATATGGTGACACCACGTGTGCGTCAAACAACTGTTGGTAAAGCTCCTTATATGTCATAGGATCAAAATGTTCTCATTTTTGATGAGACATGTGAATGTAAAAAAAAAGGAAAAATAATGCGAATGTAAACAAAATGCACAATATGTCTGAATGCATGATGCATTAAATGTTCGAGGCATTGATCCAAAAAATGTACCTGTTATATTAAATAATCCTTATTGGGGCAAAAGTGTTACGTCTTAAGAGACAAAAATATTTTGAAGGCATAGACCCCGAACAGCTTCTGATAGGTTGACTAGTCTTCTACCTTCGTCTGTCACCGGTTGAATACCCTGTCAAACCGTTCCGGCTCCTTTGGCTAAAATGTGCAAATAACGAGCTGCTTGCCCCCAAAAGGTCTCGAAGGACTGCATCGCCGGCTTGTTCCAAACGAAAGTGCCATCGGAGCCCTCCACCCAAAGTTTATCGGCTTGTTTCTAGAATTTATCAATAATGATCTCCAGCTTAGCTAGGGTTTCACCATCTTGATCTCGCAGTTTTCGAAAGGACTCTCCGGGTCAGTAACATTTTCCTCGTCTTGCCCCTGCATCCTTTGCCTCCAAGTATTCTTTGACCACGGCTGGGCTTCTGAGCTTTTTATCTCTTTGTATTATAATCCCTTTGTCCATTAATACAGATTATTCATGTTTAACAAACACATTTTTGGTGGATCAACACCTCGTTTTAAATGATGCAAAAAAATAGAATAAAAAATAAAAGGGGTTAGTGAGGTAAATCAAAATAAAAAATAAAAAATCCTACCCCACATGATAATCTACCCGAACATGCTTAATATTCCTACACAGACATGATTTCTATCCCGCATGCTAATTTCAAACAAATCCTAGCCGCATATTTGTCTAGTTTGCATGCTTTGAACAGAAAATAAAGCAGGAAACAAAGCATCCTAGGGTTTGGAATGAGGTCTTGGGGTGAGCTCTAATTCCCTGCACTCTCCCGGTTTAGGTTCTAAAAAGGTACTCGAGTTCTCCTTGCCGGTGTCCCATTGGGGCTTGCCAGACCCTTAGTCATAAGCCTATTACAAGCTTGTGTGGACTAAGTTAAACTCGAGAGGACACATTCCCTTATGGCCGCACGGTGAATAAATTCACACGAAGACATAAGGTATATGAATCCAGAAGGCTACTTGCTAGGCATATGCGGTGAATAAATTCACACGAATGCGTCGCTTTCACCCCCACTTAAAACGGGTTCGGAGCTCGGGTTTAGAGCTTAGAGATGACAATTTTGAAAAAAATCTGAAATCATTAAAAAACATCAGTACAACTATTTATTTGAAAAATAATCAAAGATAAATAATTGGAATCGAATAAATAAATTAAAATTAAAATTTAACATTTTCGCATAAAAAGACAACCAAAAATTAATTTCGGCCTGACTCACTTACCTGTCCCCAGCAGAGTCGCCAAGCTGTCGGAACCGTCTTTCGGTTGGGCCTGGAATCGGGCTTCGACTGGAATTGATTGGGTTAGAGTCGCCACCGACCACTTTAAAATGAATTTAGGTGGGTCGGATACCATCTTACCTGATCTGCGTTGTACCAGAAACATGTCGAGTTCGGGAGTCGGTTACGGTTAAGGAAGGATTAGCACCCTTGAACCGCCCTTTCGGTACCAATTAATTTGTTGGTTGCCTTTAATTGCGAATATTAAAAATTTAAATTAAAATTTATAAATCCGATTCGAATTACTTACCCTTTGATCAGTTGGAATTACGACTGAAAGAATATGTTAGATAAAAATGTTAGATGATAAATAAAAATATCGAGTAAAAATTAACTAAATAATAAGGGGAAAATAAAATAAATAAAATATAAAAGAAATGAAAAAAAAGGCTAAGGTTTGAAATTAAAAAATGTTAAGAAGATAAAATAAAAATTAAAAAAAGTAAATAAATAAATAAAAGGGCCAAAATGAATTAAATTGGACTTTGTGGACTGAAATTGATACTAAAAAATGAACTGCAAAAAAACAAGATTAGAGGGTTAATTCACAAAGTATAAACAGAGACCAAATTGAAAGAAATAAAAACATAACTCCAAAACTACAAATTAGGAACTCTTAAATGACTTGTGTTCTAATTAACCCAAAAATTATATTAAACTAAATAAAACCCTTGATTCTCACGTGAATTCATTTGGCCTTTTGTTCTTTCTTTTCATTTTCAGACACCAAATTCTTATCATGAACTTTTGATGGAAATGACGTAAAGCAAAGCAAAAAAAAAACTTAGATCACAGTCATACATTCTCACTAAAAAGCTGAAATATTTTATGAATTGAAACAACAGCATTGAAGCAGTAAATATAAAAGAACAATCCTCCTCAATTCAAGCACTCGGTATCAAAGGGCATCACAGGCATTTGTCTATGAGGGGAGATTAGAGAATTACCCAATTATGAAGCAAATAGACAAAGTAATCAATCATCTCCGCTGAGGACCCGAACTTTTTTCGACCAAGCCGTATAGGACCCGACTCGGGTAAGTCCGACTTGTTCTCAAGAATTTCGTCCTCTACGGACTTTTCCAGCTTCTATATTTTGGATGCATTGTCGGTTTCTTCGCCATCTTCTTCTCTCGCGCGCTTGAATTTGGAGTCCCCGTTGGCGTCGGCCTTGGCATTGGGGTTTTGGTCGGATGAATTGATGGTTTCAAGATCCATGTCTTCAATTGGTGGGTGGGCTCCGACGATGGCTCTTTCTCTGCCATTGAAGAATGCTAAAATCTTCAACCCTAAAAGGTTTAGAGACAGTGAAGCATTTTTCTGGTTTTCCATGGGATTTTGAAGCACTTTTCTTCCGCCAGCCCCCCCAAGAGAGTTGAGCCCACCCTCCCCTTTTATAATGTGTGCAAGGACTATAAATGGAGAAGAATTGATGGAATCCAGAGTGAAGCGGGAAAAATGACAGCAATTTTAGTTAGTGGGGTAGTGGTATAGTTGTGATACGTGGGGTTAAACATGGTTGTTGGGTATTGATTGAGTGAGTGAGGTAACAGTGGGGTAGTATATGGGACCTATAAAAGAAATAATAATAATAATAAAATAAATAATACAATAAAATATTTTAATAGACCCGGACAAAAATGGGTGTCTACAAACGTTCGTGAACATATTCATTTAACGTTCATGAACATATTCATTTATACGTACAAGTTCGTAAAAAATTTCTCTCCCGATGAACCACTAAGAAGCCTTTAACATTGCACTGTTTGAGGACACCAACTAAAATAATGAATCTTTTATGTGTGAGTGTACTAATTAAGCAGAAGAAAATGGGGTTTCAAATCAAAATAAGCCCACTTGAAGCCTCGTCAAAAAGGGAAAAAATTTTAAATAAAATTTAAGTTATAAAATAAGACACGTCAATTTAATTTAGTTTTTTTAACTCGACTCGATTAAATACACACTCCTGCTTAGCTCATTCATAAACATCGTCACTGAATTTAGTGTTAACTACATAATTGATCATTTATGTTTATGTTTTGTTTTTCCTCGTTGATTTTAAAAAACATAGTATATGGTCACTTTTGTTTTTATTTAATTAATATACAGTCATCACGGGTTAACTTCCATTAACAGTTAACAGATAAGGTGATGTGGTATTTTTTGTGTAATTACACATTTATTCTCTATTATTTACATATTCTCTCTCATTCAATCGAATAGTGGTATGTTTCATGTCATATGTCACTATAAGCAAAGCAAACTAATGCTAATGCTAATGCAATTCAAACTTGGTATCTTGAGAAACCAAACATGTACCTAACAATTGAGCCAAGACCAATGTTTGGTTTAAAAGAGACAACATGATGTATATATTTTGTATCTTAGCATATAAATAATTAACTTAAATTCATAATATTTTATACATATTAACTTTAAGAAATATTTTTTCATATTAACTTATTAAATATATTTTATTATTAATTTTTGAATTTTTTTTTATTTTATTTTAAAAATATATTATATTAGTAAAATACTTTGACACATGACATCATTCGGTTAGAGGGTTAAATTTATTTTAATTTATTAAAAGTATAACTAAATTGAGATAATATGTAAATAACATAGACTAAATGTGTAATTATACCAGAATATTTAACGATAGTTAACTCATAAAAATCACATCTTAATTAAATAAAAATGTAAGTGATTATATATTATGTTTTTCAAAATCAATAAGAAAAAAAAACACAAACATAAATGATCAATCATGTAGTTAACTCTTGAATTTATTATCTTAAAGGATCATCGACGAGGATAAAAAAAAATTTTAAACACTTAAAATAAATATGCAATATAGTTTGATTAATTTTTTTAATATTTTTAAGATAAATTGCATGTTTAGTAATAAACTATCAGTTTTGATTCATTTTAGTGCCTAAATTTTTTTAAAAAAATTATACCTAAAATTTAGTTTTTATTTTATTTTAGCATTTCTGTTAAAACTCAACGTCAAGTTTAAAAAAATTGAAAGTTTAATTATTAAAACGGATTAAAACTGATAGTTTATGAACTAAATGTGTGAAAATTTTAATGATAAGATAATAAACAAAAATTAAACATTAAATATAATGTTAAAAAATAAAAAAAAAATTGAGTACTAAAACTAATAATACTAAACGTATAGTTTTCCTTACTTTTTTTAAGAATAAAAAAAGCCATAAAAGAATCTAAAACCAACCTTTCAAGTATATTTGGAAAGGGCAAAACCCACACTAGGTTTCGTATTTGGCATTCTCCAATCCCCATCCCTGGCCCTGCCTCTCTTGTCTTTGGATCACTGCTAATTTCAAGCTCATCCCTTTTTCCTTCGATCCCGCAAAGTTTCAACATATGGGTAAGCGTAATTCTCCATCAACTGTTCGTTCTATTATTAATGCTTGATGGAATCTCTCTATTTTCCGCTTTCCTTTTTCTTCTTTTAACACCACCGGTACTCACTTTAAAGCTTTAAGCAAGAATTCAATGCCTGTGAAGGGAAACCCACAAAAGCATGATCGTTTTGATAATGTTAATGATGCTTTGGTTTTCTTTAGTAAGATGATTGTGAAGTACCCAAAGCCTTCAATTGTGGAATTCAATAAACTGTTAGCACCCATTGTTAGATTGAAACACTATGCCGTTGTTATTTCTATGTATAGCTTACTGGAATTGGTTGGAGTTCCTTTTTGATGTTTATTCTTTCAACATCCTGGTTAATTGCTTTTGTCAGTTAGGGATCTCTTCTCTGAATTGAAGGCTAAGGGAAATCGACCAACTAACATTACTTACAATTGCTTAATTCATGCTATGTGTAATTTGGGCTGGCAAAAGGAGGTAACCAGGCTTTTTAATGAAAAGAGGGAGAACAATATATCACTCGGTATTATTACATATAATACCTTAATCGACGCATATTGCAAGGATGGTAGGATTTCTGAACCTATAGATACCATTGACGCAATGAGGAAGCAAGGCATTGAGTTTGATAATGTCATAATAGTATATTGGTTGATACCTATTGCAAGGAGGGAATGGTTTCTAAAGCTGAAGGTATTGTCAACGCAATGAAAAACCGAGGCATTGAGCCTATTGTTGTTACCTATAGTGCATTGATAGTCGGCCATTGCTTGCGAAACGAAATGGATAAAGCTAGTAGAGTATTTCAGTTGATGATTCAGAGAGGTTGTGCACCTAATAAACGGAGTTACAACATCATGATCAATGGATATTGCAAAGCTAAAAGGTTTGGCGAAGCAAAAACTCTTTCATGAAATATCTGGAACAGGTCCTACCTCGATATTGTCACATACAACACTCTAATGCAAGGCATTTGTCATTTAAGGAGAGTTTCTGCTGCATTGGAATTTTTAAGGGAGATGCTTGGTTCTGGAGTAGTTCCAGATCTATTGACCTACTCGATTTTGGTGGATGGTTTATTCAAAAGTGGTAAACTCAAAGTGGCCTTGAAAGTTTTTCAGGCAAAGCGGAATAGTTGGTTGGAACTCGATATTATCTCTTATAAAATCTTAATGGATGGCGTGTGCAAAGCTGGGCATATTAAATTTGCAAAGAGAATATTCAACGAACTGTCCGTCAATAGTTTAAAACCCAACGTGTACACGTATGATATACTGATTAATGGATTATGTAAAGAGGGGTTACCAGATGAGGCATACCAGTTGCTTAGGAGCATGGGAGATAATGATTGCTTGCCTAATAGCATCTCTTATAATGTAATGATCCAGGGGATTTTCCGAAACAACTCTACCTCGAAAGCAACCCAACTTCTTGTGGAAATGGTCGGCAAGGGCTTTTCTGCAAATTTATGGACTGCCATCGTATATGTTGATCTACTCTTACGACCTGATAAATCAATCTTGGTTTAAAAGGTTGGATTGTTAATGTCACAATCATTAGTAGTGAATGATTAGTGATATCTATTTTCAGTTTTAGTTGGCGGGTACCTTAACATCAAGGTTTATTTTGATGTTATATTAAACTTGTACATTCTCTGTCATAATTTTTTTATCAAGGTTTATATTCCCTTTTGCGATTGTTATCCATACACTTTTGGCATCTTTAAATTTGACAAAAGCAAAGTTAAATTTATCCTGTTTCTTTTCTACATTCAAATAAGCAATGTGAACATTTAACACAATACCATCAGCTACAAACCTGAGACTCCCCATCTTCCCTCCTTTAACATAACATAACATTACCTTCAACATTTAATATTTTATATCATTTTGATTCATATGATAATGAATTTACCTTTCAACATTTATAAATTATGTCGATTTGGTCTCGATTCTAAAAGATTCAATATATTCATTTCTTAACATTTGTATAATGCGCAAACTATGTATACTTCTTTCAGAATTATTGTCAAATTGACAAAATGTACACATTAAAATTTAAATTTGTTATTACATCAATCAAAATTAGTAGGTACTAAAGTACTTCTCTCTTTTTTTGGTGGACCAATTTGCTCCCTTTCAAATTAATAGGGATCAAAGTCCTACTCTTGGCTGAGTGGACTAAAGCGTCGGATTGCTAATCCGTTGTGCGAGTTATTCGTACCGAGGGTTCGAATCCCTCTCTTTCCGTTTTGGTTTTTGGCAGTGGAATAGATCAAATCATAATACCATTTCTAAAAATGAAGCAAGGAACTCTCCCTTTTTTTTTTATTCTTCACGCTCAGGATTACGTCCCGGATCATTAGATAGAAATCCGAAGATGAAGAGAGAAACAAAAAATATCACTACGGTGTAAACAAAGAGTTTAAGAGTAAGCATTACACAATCTCCAAGATCATTTTTTTTTTGGAAAAGAAGAGAATAGATTACCCGTTTTTATACCACATATCCTATTTTGTTTTGGTTTTGACACCAAGAAATAAAGTGATTTCTAGAAATCGAAAAGAATTTTCAGAAATTCACTTGCAATGTAATAAGAGTTGAGTTTTTCATTACAAAAAAAATTCTTTCATACCAACAATTATATATTGTGGAGAACTCTAATCTAAATAGGGTTCTTCGGCAGAAAAGGGTCAGAATGAGGAAATGGGATGATCCAGATTTATCATGGCTATCCAAGAATTTCCATCATTTTCCTAAATTAACGGGGACTAACTTTTTTTTAGGATCAAGTTATCAAAATTTGAAACTGAGAGAAACTAAAGAGAGATTTTTACCTATTTCTCTTTTCCTAAGATAGCAAATCATGAATAAGCAAATTCAATCTAATTTTGTATTTAAATATAGATATAAAAATACTTTTACAATAATTATATAAATTCAACCCATGGCCTTGCCTTGTTTATTTTCCCTCAAAAGATTCAATCACAAAATAGGGTTTTATTATGCTCTCTTTTTTTTTGGTAACAAAGGTAAGTTCCATCAAAGAGATTGGAAGAGAGTAGGAATAATAGGATACAAGGCATGTCCAGCAGCATTCACCAAACAAGAGGTTGAATAAAAACATGAGTAAAATCCAAGTAAACACCATTACACAACTAAAATCAAAATTCCTATACATGTTAAAATCGTCCCCTCTTCTACCCCAGGCACACCGAGAGTATCGATAATCCGAGACATCTCGAAGAGGTTCAACATGGCCCTGCAATCGAAAATAGGGAATTCCATAACGTCTTCTTTGAATAAGAACTCTTCATAAAACTCGTAACAGAGGCAGCATCAAGTTCAATAACCATATGATTCAAATTCAGCTGTTTTGCAAGGAGCAGGACACTGATAAATCTATGCGAACCAGCCACCCGTCGCTTTCACTCAGAGTACTGCTCACACATTTGACTTTAAATACCCCAACTTTTAATCTAAGGAATTGAGTCCCTCTACTATTTTGATTTAATAATTGAAATCCAATTGATAACACCCGTCAAAGGACTTCCATTAAATTTGATTGTGACACTAAAAAAAATAGTTTAACTCGTGCGGCCTCTGTGACATGCATTGGAGGTCAAATAAGCAAATAAAAATGTTGAATGTGGGATTTAAGTTTTCCTTTTCTTAATATGGGATTTGCTTTAAATTGCCCAAATGGACAAATATTTTATTTTAAAATGTCACGGAATCCAATGTAATGGAAGTCCTTTAATGGGGTTATTGATTGAACTTCAATTATTAAAAAAAATAAGTGTAGAGGGACTTAATTCTCAAAATAACAAGTAGAGGAACTAAATCTTAAATGTATAGAGAGTACAGGTACCATGAGCATAATTACACCTTAAACATATCATCAAAATTACTGACTTGTATCTCCAAAATATATAACTGAACAAATTTTTTAACTAGCAGCATAACCAATGGGAGCTTAAGTTTAGCTTTAAGGAGAGAGAATCTATTGCAAAATCCTTCAAAACAAAAATAACAGATAACATCACCTGATCTTTAGCAAAATCCTATACTAATCATAAATTCGTAATAATGCATGACCCAACCAATGCAAATATAATCACCAAAAGATTCCCACGATAGTTTTCAAGTTCAAACACAAACCTTAAAATAGCCTGGTTCGAAACCTCTTATCTCTTCCTCCCACCACGCTCCCTTAATGAAAGAGCCAGTGTTTCTCCTGCTGCAACGTTGTAATATGCAAGGGTCATATTGTCCTTCAGGAACCCAGCTTTTCCACTAAGTTTCTGTTTGTTCGAAGGAAGCTGGATCTCCCCTGAAATTTTCTCCTTCAAACTGCCAACCGTTTCGGATAAAGCCTGCACAGTGATCTCGAGAAGTTGTCCTTTCAGATTTCCTTCATCGAGGTTTGGAACCGATACAGTAATACGAGCAGGTCCCTACAAGAGATCCCCATCAACAGTTGTTAGAGGTACAATGAAAAAAGTAAATAAAAAGTACTTGGGAATAAGGGCAAGGGATCCTCGTACCGGATGTTGAGCAAGGAACTGATCTTCGGGAACAAGCATCGAATCATCAAGCTTTTGTTTCTTTGGCTCGGGTTCATCAGGAAGTGGTGGAGGAGCTTCTGTGGGTGGGGGTGGTGGAGGCATTCCTTGGGGCAATGGTGGTGGTGGCTGCATCATAGGCATAGCAGGTGGTGGGACGGTAAGAGGGGCAAAGGGTCTAGGAACTGACACAGGGGTAAACTGAGAACCCGGAGGAGGGGGCACAGGAGCATTCATGGACATTGATGGAGGCATTTGGGGTGGTCGATTCATCATCATGTGTGGTTGGCCAGGTGCCATTTGCATTGGAGGTGGTGGCAGACAAATAGATTGCATCATTTGAACACCCATGGGTCGAGGTTGAGGTAATGACATAGGAAGCCCGCCACTCGAAGCTGCAGAATATTGGGGAGCATTTGAAGGAACACGAGGGAGATTTAAAGCTAGCCCAGGTGGTGGGGGGAGGGGTCGAACTGATGGAACACCAGGTCGAGGAGGAGCAGCAGCAGGACCAGGAAGGTTCTGAGCATTGTTGATAGTTGCATCATTTTGATCCTCTCCCATCATATTTTGAGACATAGCTTGATTTGCAGTTCGTCCAATGCTTCCAGTATGACCGTCCCACATGACCTGTTTTGGTTGCTCATCTTTCATTTTCTCAATCTCTGCCTTGACAGCATTAGATACTTCTTCCTCAGTGGTACCAAAGATATCGGGACGTGTGCGCGCAAGTCCAACAATGTTTCTTGATATCTCATCATCCTGAGCAAGGGTTGTCTCCCTAATCTTGGCAAACATCCTCTCTTTCTGCTCCTTGAACTTGGGATCAATTAAGGAAATTCTCATGTGTTCCGACATCTCATTAATGGGAAGCAGTTCACCAGTTATCGGTGAAACAACAAACTTGGTGGGATCCCTTTCAGCAGGGATTCTCTCCTCAGGCCTCTTCCAGTTCTTCACAATTCTCATTGGTGGTTCAGGTTCCTCATTTGCTCTTACATCTTTCTTTTCACTATCATTCTCTTCAATGCTAGCCACTCTCATGCCTTCCTCAACAAGCTGTACCTCTTCTTCGTCCATTTCCATTTCAACCTCCTTTCCAGGCTCGACGGTTTCATCTTCTTCCATAGTAGATACCTTGCTCCTCCTTATGACCTCCTCAATTGTCATTGGAGGAGGCAAGTCCTCATCCTCATCATCTGCAAAGTCTATAGTCTCAACCACAACAAAATCATGCCAATCAATCATTGCCATTTGCATTCTCTCCTGTTCAATCTCGTCCTCTGCTTTCTGTCTAGCTTTCTCCTGTGAGCGTTCCCATTCCAACCTATGCAAGCACCTCTCTAGCACAGTTGTCATATCGGCAACACTCTTACTCAACTTCTCTGTTAAACCCTTAGGTGGCATCAACACCTTGGAATATGCATCAGCAAGTTCAGTAAAAAAGGTAAACATACTATGAGTCGGCCTTAAAAAGTTGAATTGGGGATTATTAATCTCCCTACTAGTCAATCCAGTCAAGAACGATTTCCCATTTCGCGCAACAAACTGTGCCGTCAGCTTAATAATATCCAACTCTTCCCCTGTAATCCCTTCAGGGAGTCTAACAGTATATTGAGCAGATTCAGGTGGTTCAAGATTCTTCTTCACTGGCAGTCTAAACAGAGCAGCAGGATCAGGCTTAGCTACTGCCGCTGCTGAATCATTCCCATCAGCAGCAGCAGCTGTAGCAGGCTCGGTTGGAGCAGAATCAACAGGCTGTAAATCCGGTTGCAGCTGTTGGGAGTTGGATTGGTTCTGATTTTGAGCTCGAAATTCGGATAACCTATGTTGATAATAAGCATGGTAGGGATCTGAACTAGTCAAGAAATTGAACTTAACATTGTTAGCATTATTTGCTATGATTCGTTTCTCAAATTCCAGTCCATTCTTGGCGACAAACTGAGCAGTTTTATCAACAATATTCCTAATATCAGGAGGCGGATGAATAATTCCTATAGTTCTAGTGTGGGTTGCAATTGAGCTGGCTTTATTTTGTTCTTCAATCGATGGAGTCTCTTCATTTTGAGTTTCCGGCACCTGAGATGGTGGTAAGGGACCTAAATCTCCATCGGACGGTGGTGCCGGCAGGGGTAATATTGGTATTACCCCAGGCATTTCCAATCGATATTAAAATTAACCTATCAAGAATCAAAGCAAACAAAAATAAAACTGCAATGAAAAAGAATTGAAATCCGCAGTTGAACATGAACTGATATTGTGAGAGAGAAAATTAGGGAACAAAGCAAACAGTGCAGAAAATAAGATTTAGAGATACTTTGAACGAAACTTGCTAGCCATATCTTATGTTTTTCAAAAATTTTAAGATAGATTACATATTTGGAAGCGGGAATTCGAAGAAAGAAAAGACCACCAACAATTAAAAAACAAAAACAAAAGGATTAAATAGACAAAAACAAAAGGGTGAGGCGCGAAGCCATTACCTGGAAATCCCTTCGCAATAATAGAAAACAAAAAAAAGATATAATTACGGTGGATTTGAAAGAGAAATATTAGGGTTTTAGGACGAAGATGTTAGGAAAGACGTGTGAGAGGGAAACATATATTCTGTCGTTTGCGAAACAGGAAAGAGCAAGAGGAATCACTCGGGCCAATAAAGTAGGTTTGGGCCAATTATAAAAGGGTAAATTACCAAATTGATCACAAATTAAGGTTAAAGTTTTTTTTTCTTTTGTTACCCTAATAATAAAATTTCTCTTATTATCACATATAGTATCATGTTGTTACATTTTAGTCATATATCCCTTAACTATCTTGGTGAGGGTAATGCTAGTCGATTAAGCTTGTGTTGTATGAGTAAGGAACATCACTTTAATCTTGATTGACATTAAGGGTTTGTTTGTTTTCAGGAAAATCAATTACGGGAATTGGTTTTCCCTCAATTCCCGTGTTTGGTTCCCGTAAAAGCCTCTAGTTAATGTAAAATCAATTACATTCAACGTAAAATAAACTCTTTTTTGCCCATAAAACAACTTACCATGGAAAAATCGGGAACTCATTTTACGAACATGCCTCCCATTTTTCCTTGCCTTTGATTTCCTTCATTCTCCGATCAACTATCACCATCTTCTTCTCGCTAACAACAAAATCAGCAGATTTTTCCAGCAAAATCAATGGAGGAGCTCTAGGATTCCAAATTAATATTTCGAATCCCTAATGTTCTTCCTCCCCTTTTGTTTTTCTCTTTGATTTCCAAGGGTAAATCTCTTTAAAAGGTACCAATCGCACTGCCATTTTCCCTCTGTATGTGGTGATAGATTCGGTAACCACCGAGGTCGACATTTCATGTGGGATCTTTTTGGTTCTTAAAACCCATTTTTATTACCATTTATAGTTTCCTACTTATGAATTTTCTGTCCTTTTCATTTTTTACTGGTATCCATATGCTTTCTAGATTACTATTTAGGAGGTTGAACTCAGCTTTTCCAGATTACCATTCGCCGGATTTTTCTCGCTCACAAAGCAGAGTCCGATTGTTATCGTTGACTTGTAAGTTTTGTGTTTCTGTTAATTCTATTATGTTTATGTGTACGTTCAATTATGGTTGGGTCTTTTTTCCTATTCTTCAATGACGGATTGGAAATCTCTAGTCATTGTAGTTGTGGTTTTGCTTTTGGCAGTTCAAAGTAAGTTCGATGTCTAGGCTTCCTATGCTTAGGCCATGGCAGCCGGTTTATATAGTCTGTCATGAAAACTCTTGGAGTTGTTTTTTTTTCCTTTTTTACCAAGCCCTAGTTTTGTTGGTTTCATCTTATGCTCTGAACTGTAGTTTGTAACCTCTCTCAACAATGTAACGAGTATTAAATCCGCCATTGGAGGTCTTGTTTCTGTTGCCACTACAACAAATTTTCTTATTAGTGGCATCTAAGTTATTGTCACTAAAACTTCAATTTATGTCACTAGATGTATTTTGTGACGTAAAAGTCAATGTTACGACGATCGTCACCCTAGGTGTGTCACTAAATGTCAAAAGTTGTTGAAAACATTTTGATATTTCGATATAACAAATTAAGTTAAATGAATTTTAAGGTTTTCCAAATGATTTTCTAAGTATATTCGATATAATTATTCGAATATCAAAACATTACTCCAAATATTTCAAAAATCATTTTTAATCCTTACTTAAGTGTAAAATTAAGTTTTAATCTTAAAACAATTTCAAAATAATCTTTCAAAGTATTTCGAACCATTTCAAAGCCAAAAATTCCAGATTGCTCAGAGGGAACCGATTCCCCCCCAAGGGGATACCGATTCCCCCCTGAATGGTTTGGCTCCGAGATTTCCAGAATGCTCGGAGGGAACCGATTCCCCCATAGGGGGTACCGATTCCCCCCTGATCAACGGTCGAAATATTTTAATTTTACACTTAGGGAACCGATTCCCTATGAGGGGGAACTGATTCCCCCCACGCTCCAAGCTGTTTTATTAATTGTTTTCACACTAAAACGGCTATATGATCTTCACTAATCATCCCCAACGTTCATAAGTGATTCAAGGTGTATTTAAACAAGTTCTGAAGCCCTTGATCAATAAGAAATCATAGAGAAACAAGAGAGAAAGCATCAAACACCAAGTTTGTGCAAATCAAGCCAATTTTCATTTCAATATTCATTTTGCTTTCAAAGAACACCATTTGTGCTCATTTGTAATTATTTGTGAGTGTTCTTTTCTTGTTATAGAATTGTGCAAACATCTTACCTTGTGAGGTTTTCCTTGTAAGTTTGCAAATTTGTGTATTTCTCTTTGAAAAAGAGTGTGCTCAAGAATTTGGGGTATAATTCTTGAGGGTTTTTAAGGTTACTCTTTATCCTCAAAAGAAAGAACAAATTAGTGAATTTGTTGGAAAATCCTTAGTGTGGATAGCTAAGGTAGCGGATGTAGACTTTGGTTGATAAAGTCGAACCACTCTAAATCGCTGTGCAATTACTTTCAATTTTCTGCAAAAGCTTCCACCAAATTTTTAATTGCCAATTCACCCCCCTCTTGGCCATATTCGTCAATCGATTAACTCAACAATTGGCATCAGAGCCTAACTCATTTAAAGGTTTAATCGCCTCTTGAGTCGATCCGGGAAGAGTTAAATCGATAAAGATGGCGTCCACTTCCGGTTCATTCTCCTTGGAAGAATCCAGACCAATTGATGTGCCTCCATACTTCAATGGAACAAATTATCGTCATTGGAAGAGGTGTATGATGATATTCATCAAAGCATTCGATATGGAAGATGATAATCAAGAAAGGATATTCATCTCCTACTAAGAAGGTAAAGAAGTGGAGTACTCAAGAACGGAAGGAAGCTCAACAAAACTCAAAAGCTATGCACATGTTGTGTTGTGCAATTGATCCTAATGTATATAAAGGAGTTTCTTCTTGTTCAAGTGCCAAGGAAATGTGGGATAAGCTTGAGGAGATCTATAGAGACAAGGAAGAAGAAGAACCAATAAAAGTGATGTCTCTATTAGCTCTCACAGAGCCAAAGGTATCTTCTAACTCAAATATATCAAATTCAAAATCTTTTAATGAGTTACAAGATGCTTATGATAAATTATTTTCGGAGTTTGAGACCATGAACTCCAAATACAATAAATTGATTTCTAAATTTATTGCTAAAAATGATCTTCTTTTGAAAGCTAAAACAGACTTGGAAAATCAAAATGAAATGTTGAGAAATGAGTTAGAGCTTTCAAAAATAAAATCTGAAAACTTTGAAAAAGAAATTTTCAAATTAAACAAACTTCTTCTAGAAATGAAAATGGATTTTGAAAATCAAAATGAAATCTTGAAGAAGGATTTAGAACTCTCAAAAATGAAATTTGAAAGTATTGAAAAAGAAAATTTCAATTTAAATGATAAGCTTGAATGTTTAACAAAAGAAAAAGAGATCATTTTAAATAATTCATCTAGTTCAATAATGACAATATGTTCACATTGTCATTATCATGGTCATAAGGAACATACTTGTCCTTTAAAGAAAGGAAAACGATTTAAAATTAGACAAGTATGGGTTCCAAAAGGAACAAGATGCATTGAAACTAATGTTCAAGGATCCAAAGCAATTTGGATACCAAAATCTACTTAAATGTCTCTTGTAGGTGTGTGGGAGCAATGGTGATAAAGTTGATGATATTCAAGATGCTCTAGCCACACATGAAAAAGGAATGGGTAACCTCTAAACTTAATTTTTTTATTTTATTTGGTTGCTCATTTATTCTATGCATGCATGAGGTTTTAAATGTTAAATAATTCTAAATGATTATGTTTTGTCTCATGTATGTTGAAAAATATTGTATGATGAACATAATAATTTTTGGTAATGTTTTATAAACTCTAGTTCATCATATTAATTTTTGGTCAAAATTGTTTTTAAAATGTAATTGATATCTCTTTAACAATTGATATCGATTTTTCAAGAACTTTGGTTTTGCAAAATTTTGACCTTAAATTTTTCTTAATGATTATGCATATTTTTAAATATTATAAAGTTTTAATGCATAACTTTTTCAAAAACTTTATGCATGTGCTCTTAATCTCGATTATCAATATTGCATAATGTTTTGTATGTGAATGGATTAAAGCATAATCTGATTAGATGAATTTGACAAAAGATACAATGTCTTATTTTTAAATTAAGTGCTTGCAAAATTGATTGACATTGCATCTACTTTGATTATGCTTGTTGGTCATAGAATAGGAAACATATACATGGTGCATTTAGATTCTATTGATATGACTAATTTGTGCCTAGTTGCTAAGGATGAACATGATAGTTGGTTATGGCATAGGAGACTAGGACATGCTAGTATGAGTGTTTTGCAACGGCTAATTAAAGGTGATTTAGTTCGAGGGTTGCCTAAGCTTAAATTTGATAATGATAAAATCTGTGATGCTTGTGCTAAAGGAAAACAAAAGCGAGTTTCTTTTAAATCCATTAATGACGTATCAACTAGTAGAGTATTACAATTGATCCACATAGATCTTTTTGGGCCAACTAGGACTACTAGCTTGGGTGGAAAACAATATGCTTTTGTCTTGGTAGATGACTGTTCTAGATATACTTGGGTTCTATTTTTAAGTACTAAAGATGAAGCATTAGAACAATTCATCACATTTTCAAAAGTAATCCAAAACGATAAAGGTTACTCTATAACTAGTGTTAGAAGTGATTATGGCACTGAATTTGAAAATCTTGGATTTACTGAGTTTTGTAATTCTAATGGTATTAGCCATAATTTTTCAGCACCTAGAACTCCTCAACAAAATGGAGTTGTTGAGAGGAAAAATCGAACTTTAGAAGAAATGGCTAGAACCATGCTTTGTGAAAATAATTTGCCAAAATATTTTTGGGCGGAAGCCACAAATACCGCTTGTTATGTTATAAATCGAGTAATGATTAGGCCAATTTTAAAGAAAACTCCATATGAAATTTTCAAAAATAAAAAGCCTAACATTAGCTATTTTCATCCTTTTGGATGTAAATGTTTTGTTTTAAACAACGGTAAAGAAAACCTTGGCAAATTTGATGCTAAAAGTGATGAAGGAATTTTTCTGGGTTACTCCTTAAATTCTAAAGCTTATCGAGTATTTAATAAAAGAACTTTAGTTGTAGAAGAGTCTATACATGTTGTTTTCGATGATAATCTCCTTCCAAGAAACGAAAAATGAGGAAACTCATGATCCTCTTGAGAATCCAACCATTGAAGAAAGGGAAGTATCTTATCCAAGAGAGTACAACTATGTCAAGGATGGTGAAATTATAGGTGATCCATCAAAAGGGGTAACAACTCGATCTTCTCTTAGAAATATTTGTAATTATGTTGCATTTATCTCATGCATAGAGCCTAAGAATATTAAAGAAGCATTAAAAGATGAACATTGGATTATGGCTATGCAAGAAGAGTTAAATCAATTTGAGAGAAGTAAAGTATGTACATTAGTTGAAAGGCCTAGTAATAAATCTACTGTAGGTACTAGATGGGTATTTAGGAATAAGCTTGATAAGAGTGGTAATATAGTGAGAAACAAGGCTAGACTTGTTGCTCAAGGGTATACTCAAGAAGAGGGCATAGACTATGATGAAACATACGCTCCCGTAGCTAGTATGAAAGCAATTAGAATGTTATTAGCATTTGCATGTTTTCATGAATTTAAATTATATCAAATGAATGTTAAAAGTGCATTTTTAAATGGTTTTATAAAAGAAGAAGTGTATGTGGAACAACCTCCAGGTTTTGAAGATTCAAAATTTTTAGATCATGTTCTTAAATTGACAAAAGCTCTTTATGGTTTAAAACAAGCTCCTAGAGCTTGGTATGAAAGATTGTCAAATTTTTTTAATTGAAAAAGGTTTTTCAAAAGGAAAGGTTGACACTACATTGTTTTTAAAGCATAAAGGTAAAGATTTATTAGTAGTTCAAATTTATGTTGATGATATAATATTTGGTTCTACTAATGATGTTCTTTGCCAATAATTTTCTAAGCTAATGCAAAGTGAGTTTGAGATGAGCATGATGGGGGAGCTCTCATTTTTCTTGGGACTCCAAATCAAGCAAAGAAAAGATGGCATCTTCATTAATCAAGCTAAGTACGTCAAAGATATGCTCAAGAAGTTTGGACTGGAAAATGGGAAACCTCATGACACTCCAATGAGCTCTTCAACAAAGCTTGACTTAGATGAAGGAGGTAAATGTGTAGATGTTAAATTATATAGGTCAATGATTGGCTCTTTGCTTTATCTAACTGCAAGTAGACCGGACATCATGTTTAGTGTTTGCTTATGTGCTAGATTTCAATCATGTCCTAAGAAATCACATTTACTAGCTGTTAAGAGAATCTTTAGATACCTTAAGGACACTCCTAGTTTAGGACTTTGGTATCCTAGAGACTCTAGTTTTAGCTTGCATGCCTTCTCTGATGCGGATTATGGAGGATGTAAATTAGATAGGAAAAGAACCTCCGGTACTTGCCAATTCCTTGGAAATATGCTGATTTCTTGGTTTTCAAAGAAACAAAATTGTGTTGCATTATCTACCACTGAAGCGGAATATATTTCAGCCGGTAGTTGTTGTGCACAAGTTTTATAGATGAAACAACAACTTTTTGATTATGGAATTGAAGTAGGTATTATTCCTATCAAGTGTGACAATACTAGTGCTATTTGTCTCACTAAAAATCACATCCAACACTCTAGAACTAAACACATTGAAATTAGACATCACTTCATTAAAGACCATGTCACTAAGGAAGATGTAGTTCTAGAATTTGTTGATACTTTGCATCAATTAGCGGATATTTTTACAAAAACCTTAGATAAGGAAAGGTTTTGGACACTTAGGAGAGAATTAGGTTTAACTGACCTATCTTCACTTAGTGTTTAAAACAATTCAACACTTTTAATAAATACTGAAAAATGCTCATAATAGTAATTTTTGATTGCATTCATTGCTATTAGTTAGGGGGAGTTTATGATTCTTGATGAAAAATTAATTTTATGTTCAAATATTGATTAAAGATTAATTTAATTGTTTGAACATAATTATTTTTCAATATATGAGTTGCCTATACCACTAGAGAAGATTAATTTAGCATTTTGTGTGCTTAAAAATCGGATTTTAGCATTTTGGTGGAGAGGGAATCGATCCCCCCTCATGAGGGAACCGATTCCCCCTTTGAAGGGGAACCGATTCCCCCCACAGGGGAATCGATACCCCCCTGGGGTTCTGTTAAATTGAGCAGAACACCCAAAATCCCAAAATACTTTAACCCTCTTCCGCCGTTCTCTCTCAACTTTTCTCAAATCTCCATTTTTGCCTCAAATCAACGATATTAATCGAAATTCGAATCAAATATCATCTTCTAAACCTGTTGGAATCATTAAAATCGTGCAAACAACATCTAAATCCCCTCAATCTTCATCTTTCAAGGTAAATTTTTCTAAACTCTCTATTTCATTGATTTTGAACATAGGATTAGTTTTAATTAGTTCTAGGTTGAAATAGTGACCGGGCATTGATTGTTTAGTGATTAGAAACTAGATGTTACAACTAATTTCATCAAAAACACAAGAATTTTCCAAAAATTTTTAAATTTTCGAAATTAAAAAAAAAATGTTAATTTTCAAATTATTGTGTTTTGATTAAATTATGTTGTTGTTATGAAAACTATACATATATTGTTTCTCAAAACCATATTTTTCAAAAGTTTTTCAAAAACTTTGCCCATTAGAATTGATTTAGAAAACCTTGAAATATTGAGGACTCAATTGAGTTTTGGGATTAATTGAATTGCATACATTTGTTTTTAAAATTGCAGGTTATCCAATCTATTTCGATTTCCTTTACCATGTCCAATCCTAAACGTGCTAGGTCTTCATCTAGTCATTCTAGTCGTCAACCAAATCCACCTCCAAATCCTCCTCCTATTCCTCAAAATCCTATTCCAAATCTTGATCCTAACTTGACTATCCAAAATTCTTGTTTCAATCAACCGGGTCCTAAAGATTATCGTTATTGGTTTTACCAATATTTTGACTCGTATAAGATTAGGGAAGAATGTATCCCATCTCTTCAAGCTATGGTTGCTATTAACTTTAAATATCTCCCTATCTTGCACGAATGGAAATTTGATAAACTTTTCGAACTTGAACCCGTTGTCTATCATCAACTTGTTCGTATCTTCTATTGTAATGCCGTTTGTATCAAAAATCGTGACAAAACCAAAACCATAGGAGTACGTTCCTACCTCCTAGGTCAATATTTCCATCTTGATCCGGCTTACATAGCCAATGCCTTAGGCTTGGATAATGAAGGTTTATCAAATGAAAAACAAGTTTTAGGCTCACGATATAAACGAAATGATAGTGCAAGTGTTCTAGATCTTCATGAGCGTTTTCTTCATCTCATGATCACTTGGTGGTTTCGACCATTCGGGGGTCGTTATTCTACTCTCAGAGCTTTAGATCTTTGGTGGTTGCATTGTTTTGAACACAATATAAAAATAAACCTTTCCGAGATTATCTTTGTTGAGATTGTTGAAACCGTTAACCTAGTGCCAAATAAGAAACTCTGTTCTTCACTAGTTTACGGTTGTATCCTTAGTAATCTCTTTTCTAAAGCCGAGCTTCGAGTTGGTCTAGATGCCTCCTTTCCTCTTAAGAAACAAATCAATCTTCTTTCTTTAACAAGAGCGGGATGGGTTAAAAATAAAGAAACCGGTGAATGGGTTCGATCTTCTGCAACTACTCCGGGAGCTAGTTCTTCACAAGCTCCACTCGAAGCTAACGAAGATCTAGAGTTTGAACAATTAATGAGGGATATCGATGAAGCTGAAGATGAGCCTGAGCAACCCGAGGAGCACGGACAACAATCGACTCAAATGCCTCCATATTTTCAATCCTTTATGGAGACATTTGATTTTCGATATGCGACCATGGATTCGCGCTTTACTTCTATAGAGTCTCATTTATCCACAATGGGAGCTCAACAATTAGAGATTCTCCGAGAGATGCGAACAAACAATGCTTCAATAAATGAACGTATTGATGCACTCTCACACGAGATGGCCGTTATGTGAGCTCGTTTTCCTCCTCCCGATCCTCCTACGGATGTTTGATTCTATATTTTGCTTTGAACTCCAAACTTATTGTTTTTAACATTTTGAATATTTTGGAATGTTTGAATTTGTGGATTGTGAATTTGTTTGGATTTATGGATGGTGTGAACTTATATGTTTGGTGTGATTTATTCATTATTGCATCATTTACATCATTATTAGCAATATGACCAATTTTGCCATATCACATTGTTTATGAATATTGATTATGGAACTAATGGCTAACGTTTCTCTTGATTGTGATCTTAGCAGCTTATGCATACATATACCTAATCAATTGGCTAAATGATTTTCACGTTTCTTTGAATCTTTTTGATTTAACAAAAAGGGGGAGAAGTGTGTGTTTTTAAAAATGATAAATGGGAGAAGTGTTAAAGTAAGGGGGAGTAATTTCAAAACTTGATTTCAAAATCTTAAAATTACTAAAATGTGTTGTTATATCAAAAGGGGGGAGATTGTTGAAAACATTTTGATATTTCGATATAACAAATTAAGTTAAATGAATTTTAAGATTTTCCAAATGATTTTCTAAGTATATTCGATATAATTATTCGAATATCAAAACATTACTCCAAATATTTCAAAAATCATTTTTAATCCTTACTTAAGTGTAAAATTAAGTTTTAATCTTAAAACAATTTCAAAATAATCTTTCAAAGTATTTCGAACCATTTCAAAGCCAAATATTCCAGATTGCTCAGAGGGAACCGATTCCCCCCCAAGGGGATACCGATTCCCCCTGAATGGTTTGGCTCCGAGATTTCCAGAATGCTCAGAGGGAACCGATTCCTCCATAGGGGGTACGATTCCCCCCTTATCAACGGTCGAAATATTTGAATTTTACACTTAGGGAACCGATTCCCTATGAGGGGGAACCGATTCCCCCCCACGCTCCAAGCTGTTTTATTAATTGTTTTCACACTAAAACGACTATATGATCTTCACTAATCATCCCCAACGTTCATAAGTGATTCAAGGTGTATTTAAACAAGTTCTGAAGCCCTTGATCAATAAGAAATCATAGAGAAACAAGAGAGAAAGCATCAAACACCAAGTTTGTGCAAATCAAGCCAATTTTCATTTCAATATTCATTTTGCTTTCAAAGAATACCATTTGTGCTCATTTGTAATTATTTGTGAGTGTTCTTTTCTTGTTATAGAATTGTGCAAACATCTTACCTTGTGAGGTTTTTCTTGTAAGTTTGCAAATTTGTGTATTTCTCTTTGAAAAAGAGTGTGCTCAAGAATTTGGGGTATAATTCTTAAGGGTTTGTAAGGTTACTCTTTGTCCTCAAAAGAAAGAACAAATTAGTGAATTTGTTGGAAAATCCTTAGTGTGGATAGCTAAGGTAGTGGACGTAGACTTTGGTTGATAAAGTCTAACCACTCTAAATCGCTGTGCAATTACTTTCAATTTTCTGCAAAAGCTTCCACCAAATTTTTAATTGCCAATTCACCCCCCCCTCTTGGCCATATTCGTCAATCGATTAACTCAACAAAAGTGACGATTTATTTGTTATCGTCATATATTGTTAAATATATAGTGAAGCTAATGGATAACGTCACAGTTTAATTTGCATTCAGTGACAATTACTTTTGTCACCAAATGATGTACATTTCCGTCATTAATAAATCATATCGTCACCAATAACACAATAATCTCATTGTATATGTGACGAAAAGAAAATTGTCACATTGTTAGTAACGTAGTATATCGTCACCTAATAGTAGAATGGATGACATTTATATATAACGTTACTATATAATTAATATTCAATGACAACTAATTATGTCACCAAATTATGTAAAATTTTGTTATTGATGATTTATATCATCACGGATAATACATTAAAATAAACCCATATGTGACGAAAGATGTATTGTCACATTTTTAGTGACGAAAGAGATATTGTCACATTTTTAGTGACATAATATAAATATTACCTAATAATATTATGAATGACGTTATGCATAACATCAATTTATAATTTATATTCTATAAAGGTTGGTTACATCACTAATTTAAATAAGATTTTATTATTGATAATTTATATTGTCACAAATAATGCATGAAAATCAACTTATATGTGACGAAAGAGATATTGTAGCAAAACACAAATAATTTATATTCTATGACATTTTTAATGACGATATATATTAAAATAAAATTATTTATACAAACCTAAATAAAAAATAAAATAATTCACTTATTGCAAAATAATAAGATTTAAGCAAATATTTCACTAAATACATAATAATTTCATTTCTATAAATATAAAAATGTTTAAATGTTTACAGAAAATAAAAATAATATGATAATAATATGACTTGTGAAATATTTCGTTGTAGCAATCTCAATCCAAACCTTGAGTTGGTTGTGATTCTGTTGATGTTGAGTTCGTGGCATCAATAACTTGTTGAGGTTCAGATTCTTGGGTTTAATTTAGTTTACTAGAGACTTTTTGAATTTCATTTTCTCGTGTTCGAATCTTTTTACGAGATACTTTTCCTGGTGCCATCCTAAAACATATAAAAAACTATTATAAATACTTTCACTAGGTTTTGTAATCGATTGCTCTTAGACATTAGAGGGAACTGCAAAGGCGCATTAAACCACAACCAAAATCATCAATTATTATAGCACAGCTTCTCTCTACTAGCATAACATTCTATAACATAATTCATAAACACATCATTTCGGTTACACTGAGAGAATGATTCATTTGCATGGTTGTGAGACTCGCCTGATATCAATTTTCAATTGGTAAGTGCATGGTTGTGAGACTTGCATGATATCAATTGTAGTAACCTCTGGCTGAGGAGGAGGAGGAGGTGGCACAATATATCCCGGTTTGTAAGACTGCAAAATAAATGTTTTTTTCAGGAATAAGTAAAGCAGCCTAGTAATTCAACTCATACAAAACCATTTCAATGTATGAGATAACGATGATCATGTTTGTTGTCCTGAAGAAAATTTAACAATACAGAAATATTATATGAATCTTCCAACAAATACAGATAAGTCCAATACATTTTGATATACCATGTGATACACCACACAACAACAAAAGTCACCAAGTAATGGCTACTAAAAAAGCATTGTCAATTATCAAATGCATTTGATAACAAGCAGCAGAGTAGTGTGACTCAAAAGTTTGTAAATACAAATTTACACCCTTGTTAATTTACAAAACTAATACGAAATCCGATACTTGTTTATATTCATGAATTATGCAAATAGGTATGTGTAACATAAGATTATAGAAAAACAGCATATTTGATCATCCTATATGAAATGACGACGACAACAACATTTCTGGAGCAGGGGTGTACCTAATGGCATATCTAACAAATTATATATCCCTTTTCATTGCTCCAACACTGAATGCATTTCCTATGAATAAACTACACAATAAAAAATTGTCAAACAAAACAGTAAAACTATAAATATATAAGATTTCAACTGAAACCATCTAATGATCAAGTTGTTACACTATAAGTCACGAAATTCCCCAACATTAACAAATACCTTCAAACTGCCACTGCATGAACAAGGTGTCTCCAAAATTTCAATGTCATCCTCGTCCTGGCAGATTCGACATTCGACCGTCCGGATTAGCGTTCTTCTTTGTCACATGCACCATGTTCTTCCACATCCTCCACATTAATAGCACAAACATCTGGCTTAATAATTATAGAAGAATCTTCACCGGAAGATCCCACAACCTCGGCTTCATGCACCAGATGTGAAATTTCGGGTGTTGCGAGTCGGTCCATACATAAAACCAGATGATCACTCATTCTCTATTTGAAACGAGAGGTCCTTGATATACAATAATGCAGCAAAAAAATACCCACTAATGTCAAAATACAAATGAGGTTGAAATTGCAAAATATACTTCCAAAATTCAATTGTTCGCAAACATAATAAAATTTTAAATCAACCCAAACAATATTCCCAATCATAAAAGAGAACCGAAGAAACCCACTAATTTAAAAGAAAAAACACGATTTTCCACCATATAGAAATAATCAGTAAAAACATCATACTCTCTGTCGCCATCAACTTCTTCAACTGGCACACCATCACAGATTTCTTTCAAATCATCTTGTCTCAACTTCACAGCCAATGATCCAATGTTACTTTCAAGGTTTTTAATCTTATTTGTAGCTGTAAAAACACGATAATGAGGCTCATTTCCATGTGTGTTCATGAATGTAGATGAGCTTCGAAAAGAAACATTGACACACGAAAAGGATGAAATCAAAGCATAACGATCGTATCTAACAAATTTAGTGATTTAAATCGAATCCCAATATCTACATCACTTACTCTGGACAAAGCCTTCAAACTGTCAAATAATTGCAGGACTGGGAATTCAAAACAATCTGAGATAATAAACGACTATGGTGGATGAATTAGGGGTTTGATTCTTCAACAAAAAAATGTGATTTATTTCATATACTTTCTAATACAATAACTTAGCCACCGAAATTCAACCCCAAATAAAAAGGCCAAGGAAATTAAAAAAAATGACACTCCACTTCCAACCATACACAACTCAAATAAATAGAAAATATATTACAAAAATATAATCCATATAGATGTGAATGGAAAGTAGCTGCAGATCGTGAAAATGGAACTTTATTCTGTACCAAAGAAAATCCAACCAAACTTTGCATAATATTATGTTAAAAATTCAGCACATTGACACCCAAGTTTTTTTAGCATTGAAATGTAAATCAAGCCTCAAATTCTATTAACACGATTAAAAAAAGAGATATCATAGTAACACTTAACAACACAGCACAAGAAAGCTTGGCAAGAAAAAAACTTGCCTGGATCTCTCTAAGAACATCCACACGCTTCCTGACAACTGGTGACAAGCTCTCCATGATATCATCCCCAGCAAGATTTTGAAGCTTATTCTGCAAAGCCAAAACATCAATAACTAAAAAGGAAAAGAAAAACATCAAGATTGAATGAGCTTACGGTGAAAAGTGGATGGAGAAGAGGAAGTAACGGAATTGGAAGGAGCTGGTTGTTCTTTCATCTCCACGTCTTGAGTCATTGTTTGAGAATCTGAAACAATTGCAAATAGAAATAAAACGTAAAAAAAAGGGAAAATAGGTGAAATTTCGATTATGGAGATGCTTCCAAGTTAAAGGTAAAAGGGAGAAAATTTTGACTTTTTATTCACGAAAGCAAGTGTTGGATTTGGAGGAAACGAGAGCCGAGCCTATAGAGGACTAGGGTTTATTTTCACTGTTTAAATGATTCAGTAGTAGGTCTTGGGGGATAGGAGTCGAAGAAAGCGTAAATAATCAAACTTTGTATTAAACGATGACGAGGAAATCCATCGTCTTTCTCATAGAAAAGGTTAATTGGGCCCAATTAAATAATATTGGGTTAAGGCCCATCATTATGCTAACTCATGTTTTATGGCCCGTATGTACGTATATGTAGATGGTAGATATAATAATTTAATCCGAATTTGATAGATTTCTACTCAAATTATTTTGATAAGGTTAAATTTTATTAGAAAAAAATAAATTAGGTTGGGTTAGTCAGATAGATGGTGATGTTGAGTTTGAGTTTATTATGAAATATGTGCTATTCGATCTGATCAGGAGTAGTAGTAATTTTTTTTTTATAAATTTAGGGATAATTGTTATAATATTCACTCTTTATTTTTTTGTATAAATTTTGTCGTGCTAAAACTATTTTTGTGACAATAATAAAATGTCACTTTTAGTGTCTTATAAAATATGACAAATTAAATTGTCACGAATAAAACTTATTAGTGACTAATATGCAACGCCACTAGTTCAAATTGAATCGTCACTATAATAAATCGTCATTTATACTTGTTTTTTATTGGAGACGATTTTACAACGTCATTATTTTATCTAAATGCCATTAAAAGATTTCCCACAAAAAATTTTGGTGGGAAGATTTTTGCGCCAAACATATAATGACAAAAATCAATGACTATTTTTAAAATTGTCATAAAAGATATACCATTAATCAATAAATATGACTAAAATAAAAAAACGTCACATTATAGTATGTTTTGTGACGATATACGTAACGTCATATAGAAATTTTGTCATAAATTGACAAATTTGCTGTAGTGTGCCATAATCAATACGTAATCGAACTTCATGTATGTAAAAATTAATTATCACTTCTATGATCTCAACTTCCTGTGAATTCTGCTGATTGTGAAATGATCTAAACTTCATGCCCCAACCAAGCATGTTAAGGGAAAAATAAATCTATTTAGATGATTATCAGAAGGTAAAAAGAATATACAGAGCATCTAATGATGTGGAAACATAATCTTTTTTTGATCAACCATGTTTCAGCATCTCGTTACATAAAGCTAGACTTTGTGGATTTTTTTGTACTTATGCTCTATGTTGACTCTAACACTGATAGGATCCGTTGCTATCTGAATATTAAAGTACCAGTGTGGTTTGTATCTTACCTTGTATTCTATTTCACCAGTGTTTATAGTTAAAAATTCTGAATTATTGATCCTAACTTTACAATTTTACAATAAAAATTTACCGAAATATGTTAACTTCAATCATTATAATTCAATAAAGTAGAAGATGAAACCATAATTTCAAGATTTTGGCCGATATAGATTAGATTCATTATACAAGTTATCTGTGGGGAATTATATTGTCAGATTGCATAATAGATTTTCTATTGATGGGTGGGCTAAAAATAATCCCTTGCACTAGACCATAGCTGGAAACTGAAAAGAGGCAGCTACTCAATTCCATAACCGGAAAATTTTAGATTTTTATTTGCATTATGTGTTATTGAAGTAGTTTCATAAAAGAGGTGAGTATAGTATGCGACTTCAGTGTTTCTTTCGGAACTTCAAGAAGGTTTGTGACACTCATTTCTCTCTTGGAGGGTAGCCTTTTTTAGAACTAAACGAGAACGATGTTCTTGACATTTTGAATCACTGGATTTTCTGCTATAAGTTGATGTTATCAGGATTTTTAATATTTCGTATTGCCAATTTGTTCTCATCAATTAATATTTCGTATTGTCAATTTGTTCTCATCGATTAATATTTATGTTATATGATGTTCTTATCTTATTAGTTGTAATATTTCTGACAGGTTATTCTTACTGGAGTCCACCTGCATATTTGGTTAAAATTTTCTCCATTATGAGGATCGACCATTGAACCTGGCATATCATTGATAACAAAAGGGAAACGAGGTACGTTTTCAATATATGATATATAACATAAATTCTTAATAGTATATCGACATAAATTACATCCACTTTAGCTTAGGTAAAAGCTTAAACGCAATATGAACTTTAGCTTTGGTAAAAGCTTAAACGCAATATGAACTTTAGCTTTAGGTAAAAGCTTAAATGTAATATAAACTTTAGCTTTAGGTAAAAGCTTAAACGTAATATGAACTTTAGCTTTAGGTTAACTAAATTCTAATAAAACTATCATTTGGAACATTTAGGATGAGACAATGGAGATGTGAAACTGTTTTAAAAAAAGAAAAAAGGAATATAAGATATTGTGATGTCCTGTATTTGGCATTAAAACTCACCAACTGGCTAACCAAATCTAGATGCAGCAATAACTAGTTTAATCTCTCATATTCTGACGTTCAAAAGATGATAGTGGAAATAAACATATAAGTTAAAATAGGTAAACTAAAGATATACATCCAAGGAGGAAAAAAAGCACTTCTACGAACTTACTTCTATGCTGAAGTGGGCATTAAGTCCATCTTCCAAAGATCCCAATAGGGATGCATCCTGCAGGGCATATAGTAATAACCAATATAAAACAGGATAAACAAAATATTAGTAGCATATGTTATTTTTTGAACAAAGGAAAAACTTGAAACTACCAATAGGTGTGGTGATCCACAAACAAGAAACCTCATATTAACATGTTCATCGTATATCTTTATGACATAAATTCTTAATAGTATATCGACATAAATTACATCCACTTTAGCTTAGGTAAAAGCTTAAACGTAATATGAACTTTAGCTTTAGGTAAAAGTTTAAACGTGATATGAACTTTAGCTTTAGGAAAAAGCTAATACCTAATATGAACTTTAGCTTTAGGTAAAAACTTAATACTTATGAAATAAAATTGAAAAATAAAATTGTTTAGAATTGAACTTATGAAATGGGATATTTTATCAAGTTTTGGCATGTAGTATATCAAGTTTATTCTGAAGATATCTTCAAGTTTCTAATCAAAATTTAATTAATTTGTTCAAGTTTGTCTTAAAATTATTAAATATTCATAAAAATTGGACACATGTTGGAATATGAAGCGATGATTAGACATGTAGCCTAGATGAGTCCAACAAGTGAAATTAGCCAAGTTTGAATGTCAGTTGCATGATCGAATTCCACCCATATGGTGGTGAAATAATCGGCCCAACTTACAGTTTGAATTATCCTTTGAGGTTTCTTAGTTACTATTGGGTATCCTGTAAGTTGCACATAACTGATTTTGATTTTCCAACTTGTTTTGAACAAATAAAAACATTATACATAATATTGAACATAATTCTATTCATAAAACAATAGTGGTTATAATTTATTATAAAGTTCACAAACTCATAAATATTATGTTTAATATTTTTTTGTAGATGGAACGTAATTCTATTCATAAAACAATAGTGGGAGTTGCTGCTTCAGCATTGGCTTTTGGGGCTCTTTGGATTCACAGACTAAAAACTAGAAAGCAAATAAGTCATGAACGTCATGTGAAATGAGATTGTGAAAGAGAAAACTACATCAATAGTATTTTATATAGAGATGACCAGAATTGTATCGACATAATACGGGTACGACCGGTTGCATTTTTTAGTATGTGTGACATCCTTACTAGGAACAATTTGTTGCAGTCGACAAGAGCGGTGAATGTTAAAGAGCAAGTTCTCATATTTTTACATATAATTGGTCATAATGTAAGATTTCGAGTGATTGGATCAAGATATTATAGATCAATTGAAACTATTTACCGTTACTTTAGGATTATGTTGAGAGCTATTTTGAAATTATATCAATTAGCCATTAGATTATCCGATGAGTCAAATCCTCTTGAGATAATAAACAATTATAGGTTTTACCCATATTTTAAAGATTATGTCA